GTGCTGAATACGCTCATCGACGAATACATTCCGGAGTCTCTGAAGCTGCTAGGGCCGAATGGCCGCTTCATGGAACTGGGCAAGCGGGGCATCTGGACGCATGAACAAATGAAGGAAGCGCGACCTGACGTGCTCTACGAGACAATCGCAGTAGACACGATGATGGAAGAGGACCCCGTGTGGTTTGGGGGGATGCTCGACCGCATTAGGGAACGTGTGGAGAGTGGACAGCTCAGCAGCTTGCCTCTGAAGGTGTTCGACATGGAGGATCCCGTGGAAGGCGGCGTGGCGGCCTTTCGCTACTTGCAGAGAGCGCAGCACATTGGCAAGGTCGTCGTCAAGTTTCCAAGTGCAATTGAGCCAGTAGAAGACGGGGCGATTGTTATTACTGGTGGCCTTGGCGCTCTTGGCTTGGTAGTTGCAGGGTGGCTTGCGGAGGAAGGAGCTCGAAACATCGTTTTGATAGCGCGTCGAGAGGCGCCGCCTCCCTTTGACAGCGTGCCTGAGTGGAACTGGCTGTCGAATATAAACTGCAAGGTGAGTTTCTTTTCGTGTGACGTTTCCAACTATGAAGATGTGCGCTCCGTGTTCAAGAAGATTCAAAAGACTGTAGCGCCAATTAAGGGGGTCTTTCATGCGGCAGGGGCTCTTGCGGACTCGCTCTTGGACAGTCAGTCTCTTGAAGGACTTCGCCGCGTCTATGCTGGCAAGGTGTTTGGAGCGTGGAATATCCACAGAGTGTGTGAAGAGCAGGGCATAGACAAAGACCTTCGGTTCTTCGTACTGTTTTCGTCTATCACATCTCTCGTGGGGAACGTCGCACAGGCGAATTATGCTTCCGCCAATGCGTGCCTAGACGCGTTGGCGCAGTGGCGCAGGCGGCGAGGCCTTTGCTGTCAGTCGATTCAGTGGGGTCCTTGGATTGAGCAGGGTATGGCAGTGGAGATGAGGCAGCAGCTGGCAAGGAACGGCATGAAAGGCATAACCAACGAGCTGGGATTTAGAACACTTCATGACGTCCTTCTTCACCCCGAATGCCCTCCCGTTTTAGCCTGCCAAGCCTTCAAATGGCGAGCGTTCTTCATTCGATATGCAAGCGTCCCTCCGCTCTTTGAAGGGGTGTCACAAGACGCAACAGATTTGCCAGAGTCCTCTGCAATGACCATGAAGCACCTCTCCACAGCGGAGAGGCGCGAGTTCATCAAAGCGCAAGTTGCTGCAGCTGCGCGTCAGGTCTTGGGGAGCAGCGCGCCTCCTTCTTTCGACAAACCCTTGCAGGATCTTGGAGTAGATTCGCTAGGCGCAGTTGAGTTCCGTAACCTGCTATCCAAAAAGCTCGGCATGAAGCTCTCCGCAACGACGCTTTTCGACTATCCCACCCTAAACGCAATTACCGAATACGTCATCGAAGTAACTGGAGAGAGCACGAAGAGCCCTGCCGACGGGGATGCCGCCTTTCCTCTGGGAAATAGCAATGCTGCTCATGACGGTCTAGCCGTTGTTTCGGTTGCATGTCGGTTCCCTGGACGCTCCGATTCGATGGAAGCTTTGTGGCAGATGCTCCTTAATCGAACGGATTGCATGATGGATATACCGCTTAGCCGGTGGAACGTGCACGAAATGTACAGCGATGACTTTGACCTTCCGGGAAAAGCCTATGTGAAGCGCGCTGCTTTTATAGATAACGTGGAATACTTCGACAACACGCTGTTCAACATCACGCCTGCGGAAGTCAATGCAATGGATCCGCAGCAACGTATCTTGCTGGAGGTGTCCTACGAAAGCTTTGTCTCCGCAGGCTACACAAAGGAGTCCTTGCACAACGCCAACATTGGCGTGTTTGTTGGCGTTTGCAATCACGATTGGGTGTATCTGATGTCTGACGGCACGATTTCTCCGTATTCGGGAACTGGTTCTGCAGGGTGCATAATTGCCAACCGCTCGTCATACGTGTATGGCTTGAAGGGGCCCTCGGTGGCTGTTGATACAGCTTGTTCCTCTTCCCTCGTGGCAGTTGACGTTGCGTTTGAAAAGGTCATGCGTGGAGACTGCCAGTCGGCCCTTGTTGCGGGTGCGAACCTAATGCTGACGCCGCATCTGTTCATAGCGTTCTGCAAGGCTCGCATGCTCTCTCCCGAGGGCAAGTGCAAGACTTTCGACGCTGGAGCAGACGGCTATGCGCGCGGGGAAGGGGTGGCAGCAGCAATGCTTGTACCACTGAGTGAGGCGCAGGAGTCCAAGATGGAAGTCCTCGCAGTTGTTCGAAGCACAGCCTGCAATCACGTGGGCCGGAGTGCGAGTCTTATGGCTCCGAACGGTCCTAGCCAAGCCGAAGTTATTCGCACAGCCATCGCACGCGCATCCATCAAACCAGGAGACGTCGCATTTGTGGAAGCGCATGGCACAGGCACGGCTTTGGGGGATCCAATCGAAGTGCATGCACTGAAGAGCGTCTTTGCTCATGGGAGGCCAAAAGACATGCCCTTAGTTCTAGGCGCTCTAAAGACGAACATCGGGCATCTGGAAGGATCCTCCGGAATCGCGGGGCTCATAAAAGCAGTGCTAGTCCTACAAAACAAAACTGCCCCTCCCAACATCCACTTCAAGAAGCTTAACGAGCATATCAACGTGTCTGAGTTTCCCGTCAAGTTTCCCTCCGATGCGGTCCAGCTGACTGCCAGCGGACCTGCAAAGCGACTCTTTGCGGGCGTCAGCTCTTTCGGATTTGGAGGAGCCAATGCACACGTTATTCTCGAAGAAGTAGCTGCCAACCTCCGCGCAGTCAAAAGACCTGTCAGCAGACAAAAGATCTGCTTCATGTTCACTGGTCAGGGCTCGCAGTACGTCAACATGGGAAAGGTCCTCCATGAGGAAAACGAAGTTTTCCGAGCGAGTCTGCTCAAGGTAAGCACAATCGTGGAGGATCTCTTGGGTATTTCCATTACTGATATCCTGTACCCCTCTCCTCAGAAGGAAAGCGAAGCACAAAAGCTGCTTGAAAGCAGCACCATCTCGCAGTTGGCCCTCTTTTCCTTCGAATACGCACTCGCCGAGCTGTGGATGTCAAGAAACGTGTTTCCTGACATGGTGCTTGGCCATAGCCTTGGAGAGTTTGTAGCAGCTTGCGTAGCGGGGGTATTTAAGCTGGAGGACGCTCTTCGGCTTGTCGCCAACCGGGCTACAATTATGAACGAGACACCGGCCATGGACGGAGTTATGGCCGCAGTTCGTGAAACTGAGGAAGAGAGCCAAAAGGCCATTGACGCATTTTACGGGGATAAAGAGAAGAGGACTTCTGTTGCGGTTGTCAACGGCTTGAAGAGTGTGGTGCTTGCAGGGCCTCGAAAGGATGTCAGTGCGATTTTGGAGCAAATGCATGTCTCCTCAAGGGCCAAGTATTTGCCTGTGTCTCACGCGTTCCATTCGCCTTTGATGCAGCCATCGTGCGAGCCGTTCAGGAAGGTGGTAGAGCAGGTGCATCTCCATGCGCCGCATATTGAGATGGTCTCGACAGTAACGGGACAGATGTGTGACGAGGAACTAACGCAGCCTAACTATTGGGTCGATCATATTGTTACGCAAGTCAAGTTCTGTCAGGCCATCCAACAATGTGTAGCTTCAGGCGCTACCCTGCTGGTTGAAATCGGTCCTCGTCCGATTCTCACCTCGATGGGAAGAGGCTGTCTCAAGGATCATTCAGGCAGCACGCTGCAATGGATCAACATGGTGGATACCGAAGGAGTTAAGCTGCACACAATCGACGCCGTCGCTGCTGCCGCAGGTAAGCTTCGGGACCCCTGCTACACCCTAAACAGGAAAGCATCGAAGCACCCAGACTGAAACTAAGTAACCGAGGCTGCATTATCTCATTGTGATGCGTATCGTGCAACTCTTTTGCAAGCCAAGCATATGCAGACAAACGTCTTTTTTATGTCCTCGGGTGCGTTTTGCAGCGAGAGATGCGACCCCAACATCTGTTCTCTTCAACCGAAAGTATTTCCCATGGAAGGATATTTGCCACCCGTTGCTGGGTCGCAAGATCATTGGTGAAGACAATCGCGTGGATTTTGTAGGCGGCTTGAGCGAAGAAGCCGAAGCTTTGTTCCTCGACCATGTTGTGAAAGCACAGCCTATGCTGCCAGCAACCTCCATGCTGGAGCTCATGGCCGTAGCCTCCAGAGAGGTCCTAGACAAAGGTGCAGCGGCCGCTCCCCCGTGCCTGTCCCAGCTCGTTTTTGAAAGGCCGCTCATCTTCCAAAAGGGGGTAAAAGTATCCATTTCTGTCTCGGTAGACGCCCATGGTCAAGTCCGTTTGATGAGTACCGCAGAAGCAGACGAAGGCGAGCAGAGGCTCCATGCACACGCGCAGATTCTTAAAAGCGCCATTGTCGAGCTACCCGACATCGATACTAGGGCCCTCCTGGAGGCCTGTCCGGATGAGGTAGACATGGCGACGGCCTATGCGGAGTTCCAGAAGGTCGGCCTGTCCTATGGGCCTCGTTTTCGTACTATGAAACGCGCGTTCAAAGGTAAGAATACCGTTGTTGGACTCGTGCAAGCCGTCAGCCCGAAGAATTTCGAGCGAGGTTTCCGCATACACCCCGCAGTCATGGATGGCGCCTTGCAGCTTTCAGCTATTCTTCTCTCTGAAGGCCGACGAAGAGCCATGATTCCGTTCTCCTTCGAGTCTGTAACGCTGCTAAGCGCGAGTGCCGACAAGGAAATATGGTCTAAGGTTACACTTCTCTCTAGGACGCCGACTGCGGCGACAGTGGACGTTCAACTCTTTACATCCGATGGCAAAGTGATCGCTGATTTCGGCGGAGTAACCTTCCGCCAACTCGACATTGAGCCTTCCGCGGCGGTTCCGCGAGATCTACTGTGGAGTGTTGAATGGATTGCCTCGTGCAAGCTCGATGCAAAAACCCCAGCAGAAACGGAGAGTACAAGTCTGGGTCCTCCCTCTTCCTCGGATAACAGCGAAGCGCACCGTCATGCAGTTTCTGGATCTGAGCAAGGTGCCCTAATTGACGCGCAAAGGGAGAGTTTGGAGCCGCTTTCGACCGAAACCTACACAATCGCGGAAGAACCTGCAAGGCCGGCGGTCGTGTTTATCGACTGCACTGGTGATCACGCGGCCTTGCGCGGCACGTTCTCCGAAAGCGAGGAAACAACGGTTGTATGGATCAGCAAGCCCACTGCTGAGGATCTGACGAATGTGCTAGTGCATCCCGTTGCCGCTTCTCCTGTGGCTGCGGAGAAAATGATCATCGTGCTCGCCTTCGCAGAGAAGTCCTCGACGCCTCAAAGCATGATTTTGTCGGTTCTCGACATCCTAAAAGTTCTGGCTGCACAAAAAACGGATGCGTGTTATCCCGTGTGGATTCTAACCTGCGGAGCTCAAGGGCCGATCTCCGACTGCGTACACCCTCAGAACGCTGGATTGTGGGGGCTTGCACGGTCTGCCCGCCTAGAGGTAGACTCGAATGGGGGCTCCCATTTCATCGGCTGCGCAGATGTGGCACCAGGGATAAGTCTCAGCAGGACAGTCAGCGAGCTTGGGCGGCAGCATCGCCTGCACCCTGAAGAATCTGAAATGCTCATTCGTCCATCGGACTCAGATTCCGATCTCCAGGTCCTATTCCCAAGGCTGACGCGCTCGCCGCTGGTTGTAAGGGGTTCTTTGGAGTTGTACATGCCGGATCGAGGGGCTGTAACAAATCTGTGCCTCAGGCCCCAAGCTCCTGTGCAAAGTTGCACGCTCGAGGCGCATCAGTGCCGTATTCGTGTGCGGGCAGTCGGACTCAACTTCCGCGATGTTCTCAACGTCATGGGTTTATATCCTGGCGATCCAGGGCAGCCAGGGGCGGACTGTGCTGGCACCGTAGTTGCGGTTGGCAGCAACGTGCCGAACCTGCATATTGGGGATCGCGTTTACGGTATTGCGCAAGGATGCGTTAAAACCTTCGTTACAGCTTCTGCGGACCTCATCAGACGCATGCCCAAAACATGTACGTTTGAAGAAGCGGCTGCACTACCGGTGATTGCGGCTACTGTCGAGTACGCATTGCAGCAGCTGTCGGCAGTGCAGGCTGGTGAAAAGGTCCTTATCCACACCGCAACGGGAGGGGTCGGCTTGATTGCCATTCAGCATTGCCAGCGCGTAGGCGCCACTGTCTATGCAACTTGCAGTGGGGGGCCAAAGGAAGCCTACTTGAAATCTCTTGGGATTCAGTACATTAC